CCTCTGACTAGCCCCGCACCCATCTATTCTCTGCCTCCCGAGTCCCAGCTGATCGGGAGGAAATGGGGATTTTGCAGTAACCTTCCCCTGGATTGGAGAGGGAATAGAGATTTTACAGTATCCTTCCCCTGGAGTGGGGTGGGAATGGAGATTTTACAGTATCCTTCCCCTGCCACCAAGCCATGCCACACCCACAGAACCGCTAGTAAAAAAAATTGAACCCCACCACTGCACAAGGTGTACGCTTCCAGCTGTGATTCAAGGTGCTGTTTATGACCTATAAAGGCCTATATAGGCCATGCATACTATGTCATGGTTATTTGAGGAACCATAATGACTGTCCGCCAATATGAACTGACAGGATTGATATGCTTGAGGTCCCTTCAATTATACAGAATCATATTTCGAGATTCAGGAGATGCGACTTCTGTTTTAGTGCCCATCTTCTGAAATGAAGATTTCCCCACTGCAGTTTGAGTGGCTTTCATCCTGATAATGTATTGGAGGGCCTTGAAGACTTGGCAGTTCTTACAAGCCCTGGGTTAGAGTGGCTGGGAAAAAAAACCTTTATGAGTTTTGATGTTGCTTGGAATCACCATCTTGTTTGTTATCTGCTTATTTGTTTTGCTGATTTTTTTAAAAAAATACATTGCTCAAAAAAATAAAGGGAACACAAGCAGAAGACATCTGAGATCTGAATGAATGAAATAGCCTTATTAAATACTTTGTTCGTTACAAACAGTAGTTTTGTGTTCCCTTTAGTTGTTTGAGCAATATATAAACTACTGTATGTAAAGAACAAAGTATTTAATAAGGCTATTTCATTCATTCAGATCTCGGATGTCTTCTGCTTGTGTTCCCTTTATTTTTTTGAGCAGTATATATATTTTGTTACACTGTGGGCCACTCAGTCCAAACTGAACAAATTAATTGAATTAATGTAATGAGAAAAAAAAATCTGCTGAAAGTAACCTACTCCTTATACAGAAGCCTAACAATACCAAAATGGAAAACCTGAAAGGAAAGGGTATTCTCAGTGAGATTGAGACTGCTTAAAGATTTCTACTGGAACACAAAAGATTCCCTTTACTGCATCCAAAGAAAGGAAGAATCAGCTGCAATGGAATAATTACATTTTAATTCAATATTGTGATAAGCAGCTTAGGTCAAACCAACTGCTGAACCGAGTCAATTATTTAAGATGCTAGTAATTTAATGATGCTCTTAAGTTTGAGTAATGCTTAACACCCACTGCTACAACACAGTCTCAGCCCCTGCAGGCAAAGCAATTAAATATTTGAAAAGGATCAGAATGGTGTTATGTCTCCAGAATCAGGTGCTTAGAAAGTTCCTGGACAAAACGTTGAATATGATGAACTCCAGACTACATTTCAACAAATCAGGGGTTAAGATCTTTGGTCTGTCAAGCTCAAGACAGTCTTTTTCGAGGGTTTCAGATAGAGTTTATCCCAGCCTAAGCTAAAATGCCGTGGACATAACTTGCAACCTTTTTTATTCAAAGCTATAGCTCAGGGGTGTCAAACTCGATTTCATTGAGGACCCCATCAGGGTTGTGTTTGACCTTGGGGAGCCGGGGTGGGTGTAGCCAGCTCAACGTCAATTGTGTTGGGGGGGGGGGGCCTGTGGTGCCCCAAGCACTCTGCCAGCAAAAACGGGCTCCCGAGTTCTATTTTCAGCTGCGACGGCTTCCTGCAACCCTCTGCCAGTGAAAATGGAGCTCGGGAGGGCCACGTAAAGCCTTCCTGAGTTCCGTTTTCACTGGCAGAGGCACTGCAGGCTGGTCCTTTGCTGTTTCCAGGGCAGCCCCATGGGCCAGATCTGAGTACCCCGTGGGCCGGATCCATCCCCCGGGCCTTGAATTTGACATCCCTGCTATAGCTTATGCATTTGCTTATGTTTCAGACACTCCACACATCCTTCCTTAGAATTCCATCTCTCTAGAGCCAAGTTACAACATGCACCTGCAAACAGAGGCTGAATCCCACAGAGTTGGTCTCCTCCGGGTCCCGTCAGCTAAACAATGCCGGCTGGCGGGCCCGCAGGGGAGGGCCTTCTCTGTGGCTGCCCCAGCTCTCTGGAACCAGTTACCTCCTGAGGTCTGGACCATCCCCACTCTATTGGCCTTCCGAAAAGCGGTGAAGACCTGGCTTTTCCGGCAGGCCTAGGGCTGTTGATCTCACTCTTGCGATCCAGCGAGATCCGGCCATGAATGGTGTGAATGAGTTTTAATGTTTTTAATGTTTTTAATTCTTAAATGTTTTTTATAATGATTTTAAAAGCATTGTGAGCTGCCCTGAGGGGTGGCATACAAATTGATTGATTGAATGAACGAATGAATGAATGAATGAATGAATGAAAGAATGAATGAATGAATGAATAAATGAATAAATAAATAAATAAATGCAGAAGTACTATCAGCTCAGCAGGGTGGAAGGACTGACCATAAAGGTTATTTCTAGGAAGACTTTGAAATTCAAAAGATCAGTCAACTATTGTCCTCGGTGCTCTCTCTTCTGCTATCCAACCTGAGGATATTACCCTTCCTCATTATCCAATAGCCCCAATTCTGAGGATAAGCCACCATAGACTAGGGAGGCCCTCAATGACACAGCAGACTGAAACTTCAGAAAAGGCTCTTTAAGCCTATGAAAGGACAAAACTAGGGGATTATATAAGTTTTTTTTTTTTTTTACACAATGTGTCATTAAACTTTGGAATCTGCCATCATGACGTGTAGTGAGGGATACTAGCTTGGCTGGCTTCAAAAAAAAAGGACTGGACCAATTCATGGAAGTCATGGGGATCAATGACTCTTTGTCTTCATGGCAATGTGACTGCCTCTGAAAGCCGTCTTCTGAGAGGCTACTTGGCTTCCTTGTGCATTTAATTGGCCACTGTAAAACAGAGTGTTGGACTAGATGGCCAATCCAGCAGGGCACTGCTTATGCTTATGTTTTCATTAGTGGATCATAGCCTTCTTAATAGGGACATGGTGGCTCAGTGGCTAAGATGCTGAACTTGTTGATTGAAAGGTCAGCAGTTCAGCAGTTCAAATCCCTAGTGCCGCGTAACAGGGTGAGCTCCCGTTACTTGCCCCAGCTTCTGCCAACCTAGCAGTTCAAAAGCACGTAAAGATGCAAGTAGAAAAATAGGGACCACCTTTGGTGGGAAGGGAACAGTGTTCCGTGAGCCTTTAGTGTTTAGTCATGCCAGCCACATGACCACGGAGATGTCTTTGGACAGCACTAGCTCTTCGGCTTTGAAACGGAGAGGAGCACTGCCCCCTAGAGTCAGGAACGACTAGCACATATGTGCATGTGGAACCTTTACCTTTACCTTTACCCTTCTTAAAGTCTCAGCTGGCAGCTACTGTTCTAAGAATGAATCCATCCTGTCATCTTTCACAGGGAGCTCTCCATGGTACTGACAGTGCCTTATTCTGCCTGAAGCCAAGCCTTATTTAGGATTCTTTCCAATCCCTCAGAACCATCTGATTTATAGCCACCAGTTTCTTCACTATCCTTAGTCAGGCCAGGACAGCCAGAAGCTGGGACTCCTGAACGCCAAAGGTTTGAACCATGTAAAATACAAAAAAAAAAAAAAAAAAAACAAAAACAAAAAAAAACCATACTGCTATGTAGTTCCATTGTCTGGACAACTGAAAAACTAGAAAAGTAAATAAGGGGTATTTTTCTCTAAAAATATGAATACTCAAAGTGTATTTATATCTCAATATTTATATTTTCTTGCACTCATTAACTGATTTTCAATACTGCAAAGTTGAAGGGACAAGACGGTAAAATGGAAGTAAAAGGAAAAGAAACGTGAATTTATTTTAGATTTTTATCAAACCTCTTATGTACCTCTTCTAAGACCAGTATCTTCATTTTAAAAAAGAAAAGTGAATGGCATCATAACACATTAGCTCAGGATCTTAAATGTCATCCTCTATATTTCTGAATTTCCCACACTGATCTGATTGTAGCAAAATGTTAAAAGCTAGATATAAAGCTTTGCAAAGTTAAATTTTGCCCAAATTTGTTTACACACAAATTTGTTTAAGAGAAACATATTTACATTTTCTTCTGGATAATCTATAGCCTGTAATCTATAGGCAAAATTTAAAACTGTTAAATGGATCAATTTCTTTCCAAGGTGATTAATGTGCAACCAGCCTGCCTTCATAGTACTATAGAATGTTAATTCCTTTCTTAATTTCAGAAGGAGAACATCCTGAGCGTGACATGATTTTGCTCCCATAAACTGCAAGACATCAGCCGTCTCTTGTGAAATGAGAAAAGGCTTTGCCTTTGAACTATCTGGAAATGAAAGAACAAAGAAAAAGGGCAAGAAAAACAGAAGATACTGATTGCATCTTCTAAATATAGCCTGTTCTAGAAAAACAGGAATATAAGTTAGCTAAGGACGGTGTAAAGTTTATTTCTGTTAAAGTGTGTGTTTTGAAGGCCAGTTTGGTACAGTGCTACAGAGAATAGTCTGAGTTCTAATCCTGCCTTAGGAACACGTTGGGCCAGATGGTCTCACTAGCCCTAGGAAGAAAGCAATGGCAAGCTACTTCAGAATTTGGCGCCAGAAGACTACATGGATTTTGTAACTTGAGGGAGTGCATGGACACAAGTATACGAGTCTGGAAACATACACAGAGTGTATTTTTAAATCTACTTGATTGTGTTTGGTAATAATGGCCTATAAAGGAATTTAAAATGATTTCAGACTATAGAAAATGGAACCTGATTGTAAAAAAAATATAACCCCTGGAATTCTAGATCAAAGGGCAAAGCTCTAGAAATGGAAAATTGCCTGTGCTGGACTGAAGGGGAAAGGAAGGATGAATTTTTCATCTCCTCGTTTTGCAACCTTCACCAAGACTGTCCTTTCACCAGCACAGAGAAGAGGCATTTCTATACTGTATTGAGATGCAGCCAGAAATTATTTGAAAGAACAATTTAAGACCTTACTTTATCGGAGGAATCAGATGCCAACAGATTCGTAGCGAGTGTCTGAAGCTTCTGGTGAGCCACGTTTTTTAGTGCAGCGAGGCTACGTCTGGTCATGGCCTGCTTTAAGTTGACAGCTGGATGGCTGAGAGAATCAACTGCGGCCGGTACAGCTTCATCACAAGCATTCAGGATCTCAACTGCTGTTATTCCCATTACACATCGGTCCAGTGCACCTGAAGAAAAAGGCAAAAAAAAAAGGTTTAAAAAACCCAGCTTAGCTGTAGGCAGGCTGCACTGCATACTTTACAATGCGAGCAAAACAACTTCCTTAGGTCCAGAAACAATTTGCTTTACGGAACTCCATTCAATAAAAGCATTCAAAGGAAGGGGGCTTATAGATGGAAGACTGGAATTTAGTTTCTTGGTGAATTCTAAAACTTAATTTGTTCTGTTTATAAGGCCACCATCTCGCAAATGCAACGGTGGTAGGCAGCCACCAAAATAAAAACAGTTAAAAAAAAAACAAATTAACAAGCAAGAAAAAAAATCTATAGTGAATGTTGAGGGTAAACAAAATCAACAACAACAACAAAAAAAACCCTCTCAGTTGGTCATTTAACTTCCTGATTCTCAGCCAATCTGATTTAGGAGATTTAGATGTTCCAGAACAGGGGTCTCCAACCTTGGCAACTTTACGACTTGTGGACTTTAACTTCCAGAATTCCTCAGCCAGCACATGCTGGCTGAGGAATTCTGGGAGTTGAAGTCCCCACAGGTCTTAAAGTTGCCAAGATTGGAGATCCCTGTTCCAGAAGATAGGCACTGTGACAGAAAAGGCATGTTTCTACAAGTCCTATGAGGAAAACTCAGTCTCCTGGATTCTAATCTAGTATCTTAATCACTACATTAAGCGGGCGTCTATAGTTCTTCAGTGAACACAGGTAGTCCTTGGTTAATGGTCATAATTGGGACCAGAATTTCTGCCGCTAAGTGACAATTGTGGTTAATTAAGCTGATGGGGGTACCCGAGAGTGTGTGGGTGGCCAGTGAGGCACAGTAGGAATGCAGAGGGGTTGAATGTGCTGAAAGTACACAGATAGCTGGCAAGGTGGGGCACAAGCACCATGGGGCTGGGTAAGGTTGCACAAGAGTGCATTGGTGACCAGTGAGGAGTGGGGGACCTGTGGGTGGTTATTGCTGAGTAGAAGTGGGGATGTGAAGCTGGAAGCAGTCCCAGAGCCACCGTGTGGTAAAAAGCACCAGAGCCTCAGAGCGTCTCCTCACAGAAGGCCAAGAACAGTGAGCTTAACTTGGAAACAGACAAAAACTATGAAGATCAGCTGGGGAGGGGGGGAGGGGCAGAGGGAGGTCGTAATTGGCTTGAACTTCATGATGTAACCACAGTGCAACAGTTATAAGTTTGAAGGCCGGTTGCAACTCCAGTTTTTCATCAAGCTCATAATTTTAAAGGGTCACTGAACGAATGGATGATAAGCGAGGAATAGATTTTATTTCTATTCCAGTTATGAAGGGAGGAGTGTCAGAGTATAACTGGAATAGGGCATAGCAACGGGTCAGCCAATGGGCTGTTTGGTAACTGAAACATAGTATTTGTTGTATGGGACCATAAGAGACAGTTTGGAGCCTGGGTGTGGCTTAACTTATATATATATAAGCTTGAGGGTACTAGCTTCTCTCGTCTCCATTTTGCTCCTCCATTTTGTGCTTTCATTTTGTGCTGTGTTTGTACTTGCTATTTCTCTTCTCTACAACGTGGAAAAACCTACAAGGGTATTTGTATGCCTTATGTGTTTTGTATATAAAGACATTTTGAATTCTCCTTAATAGTCTGCTTGTGTGTGCTGCAACAAACTCTGACAGGCTTATGGGCATTGTTTAAAAGAAAAATGTTATTAAAGTTTAGGAACAAACTTCTTTGCCTTGTTAGACTTAGCAAGACAAAGAAAGAAATATATGTCTCAAGTCAAAGAAAAAGATATTTCTGACTTCTTCCTCTTATTTTGTATTAGAAAGGCATTGCTAGTTTGTGTCAACCCTGAAGCTGGCCTGGCTGAAGCCATCTTGAAGCTTCAGTGCTGCCATACTGGAGCTGAGGGATAGGGAGGGGGGGATTAGAGATAGCTGGGGTTGTGTAGTCAAAATAAAATACTTTCTCTTGGGAACCAAGGACGTTCTCACACCTGAGGAAGTGGAAGGAGGAGTGATGTCACCAGGCCACCAGACAGCGATATGATTGGACCATGTGACTGATTGTTTTGGGGTTGAGAGAAAAAAACTTAACTAGGTGAAAACCGCGGGAACCTTCAGAGTCGGTTTGCACCAGATTCGTGCCAATATGATATTTCCAGTAAAGCTATTCTTTGAGGAATTCATCTGCCTCAAAGTTTTGCTTGGTATGGGTCTATTACTTGGAATCCTGACAGTTTGCAGGGATATTTCTGAAAAGAGATTTCTTTCAAAAAAATAAACATAGAAACGACACTCCTTTGTTAATATAAGTTTGAATAGTAGCATTGAATCACTCTCTACATCAGGGGCCCCCAACCCCAGTGCCGAGCGGCCGCCCGTTTGGAACCGGGCCACAGAAATGGTGGGCGAGTGTGTGACCAAAGCTGCATCTGTGAAAGTGGTACACACACACACACATTCGTGAGAAACCATTCCCTCTCCCTCACCACTGCCGGTTTGCCAAGGTGAAAAGGTTGGAGACCGCGCTGTCCTACATCATTAAAAAAAAGTCCTTTGCCAAGTCCTTTGCACGTAGATAACTTACCAGTATCCATTTGCCATACATATACAGAACCATCTGTACAACCAACCACGAGGTAGTCATCTGAAGGTCTCCACTTTATGTTTTGAATAGGAAAGAGATGCCGGGAGGCTAACATGATGCACTTTTTTTCACGTAAACTTAGAAGTCCTACTGAGTGGTCACTGGCCACAGAACACACGCAGTGCTGCACCCTTGACTGAAAATGAGAAAACGGTATCTTTGATCATCTTTTTCTTAGTGGTAGATCTTTTATATTTTCAATCTTTTATGTTGAAATAAATGTTCTTTCCTTATGGAATAAATTAGGGCAAATTGTGTGGTGAGCAAAAAAAAAAAAAGGAGGTTAACAGCTTGAATTCTACCTACCACAGTGTGAACTTTTTTAAAACACAATTTTTATTGAAGAAGTTTTTCAACAGAAATAAAAACAGTAATAACTTTGAATTAAAGAAGAATAAAGAGAAGCAATAATGAAGTGAAAAGAAAATATGGAAAATAGATGGGAGGGCAGGGGAGGGCAGGGGAGGAGAGGAGAGGGGAGGGGAGGGGAAGAGAGGGGAGGGGAGGGGAAGAGAAGAGAGGGGAGGGGAGGGGAGGGGAAGAGAGGAGAGGAGAGGAGAGGAGAGGACAGGACAGGACAAGACAGGACAGGACAGGACAGGACAGGAGAGGCACTTTTAAAGAAACGGCTTCTAGTATTCTTGAGAACGCTTATAGATATATATTTTATTTTATGTATTTCCTCTCTATGGTTACATCCTACTTTCCATCAACTACCCTATCTAATTTTAAAACCCATAAATCACAAGTTACCACAGTATGAACACTTAACCCTAAATCACCTCACTTTAAGTATAACATTTACTCTCTACATCAGATGTGTTTTGCAAGTTACTCTGGACATAATGCAAAAGTGCTATCAGTTCAGCTCTGTTGAAGGGCTGACCATGATGGCAATTTCTAGAAAGACTTTGAAATTCAAAAGATCAGTCAAAAGATAGATATCCTCGAATCAAAGAAAGATACTTTTGTTGCCTTCTCTTTTTGAGGCAATACAGCCAATACCATTATTGCTTACATTATTAAACAATAGTTACATCGCTATGCAAGCCAGACAAGCTTTTGTCAGTGATTTACTACAATGGGAATTTTCTTAATTGTCACATACGTACCATTGGGATTTGGCCTTCTAAGGATACATATTATAAAAGGTCACAGTTATGATAGGGCATGGTTTTAGGGAAAGTAAGTTTAGAAAGAATATGGGAGCAGGGGTACTATTCAGCAGGTTCTGGAGAACCAGTAGTAAAAATTTTGAGTAGTTCAGAGAACCGGCAAATACCACCTCTGGCTGGCCCCAGAGTGGTGTGGGAATGGAGATTTTGCAATATCCTTCCCCCAGGACTGGGGAGGGAATGGGGATTTTGCAGAATCCTTCTCCTGCCACACCCACAGAACTGGTAGTAAAAAAATTTGAATTCCACCACTGTATGGGAGTCAACCATTGCAAAAGGTGCCTTGATACAGTTCTCTGCTAACTAAGATTCAAAAGTAGCACATATAAAATGTTCAGAGCTAATCATATTCCTCAGGAAGAAAGGAAAGCCTGAATATGGAAACTTTTCAGTACAAAAATGTGTTAATTAAAAAGGCTGGGATGATCAGATGTATGTTTTCTAAAATATTACACAACAGCTCCCATTAATTCCTAGCTACCACAGCCAGCAACTGGGAATTACAGAAATCACAATCCATTACATTGGGAGGGTAACACACTGGGAAAGGCTAGAACAAGATATTGTTATTTATATGGTTTGGCATTTATGTAAGGTATTTAAACACAATAAAATAACTCTTTGTATAGTGAGCCGAAAGCTATATGAGACTTTAATTCCTGCCAAACAAGTTGGCTTATTGCAGTCTAGAATCTAGAGCATAAAAATGATTGGGTCTGGCAGCCAATTCACATCTTACCTAGACCATCTATTAACTGTGGGGTTTGCTCCCCTTTTCCCGTTATTTTTCCTCTATATAACTTCCAGGAATTTCTAAGCAGGAATCTTCTAAGGCAGGGGTTCCCAATCTTGACAACTTTAAGATATGTGGACTTCAACTCTTAGAATTTCCCTGGCTGGGGAATTCTGGAAGTTGAAATCCACATGTCTTAAAAATTGCCAAGATTGGGAATCTCTGCTTTAAGGACTATATATTTTGAGGGGTCCTTGGTGCTCTCTTAAAAGTTCCAAAATGCCAGGGAATTTCTAGAAGCCTGGCACTCTGACAAATCAGCCATCAATACACACATAGCAATAGCACTTAAGACTTATATACCGCTTCATAGTGCTTTTACAGCCCTCTCTAAGAGGTTTACAGAGTCTGCCTATTGCCCCCAACAATCTGGGTCCTCATTTTACCCACCTCGGAAGGATGGAAGGCTGAGTCAACCTTGAACCGATGAGATTTGAATTACTGAACTGCAACTGGCAGTCAGCTGAAGTAGCCTGCAGTAGTGCACTCTAACCATTGTGCCGTCTCGGCTCACATAGACATTAACAACATCTATAGACTATACAAAAGAGAAAATCAAACAGCCCAAAAGAGAAAAAGACTCCATCACCTCTCCATTAGTAATCAGCACTCAGATCAGCATAGATTAACTCCAAGGTTAACTTCAGACCAACAATCAAGTAAGCAATACTCCAATCAAGAAACTGCCAAAGAGCTATTAGTAAACAGCCCATCCAAAGACTCTCTAAGACCGCCCCACCCACACAGACAGGTAAAACACCAGAATATAAACTGACAACAGCACTCCTTACTAGCACTGATGTTACCTAGAATAATGAACTGTCTGCAAGAAAACAAGCAAGCTCAGAGACTACCAAGGACCGCTCATTTCATCCCTGAGCTACAAATAATTCTCCTTTATTGGTACTATATATTTTTATAAACCATTTCCCAAATATACAGTTCTGTGTAAAATGTTCTAAACCGTATCATAATTTTATTTATTATTTTCCACTAATAGATATTTGTGTGCATCTATTCCCATTAGTCCCTTTGTTACTACTGCAACATCTCCTAAATTGCAAATATCAAAGTACTTGTTCACTATTTAAACATTGAATTAAGCAGGAATTAAGTTTGCAATAACCTCAAAAAATTGGACAAATTATACTGTCACTTCTGAAGGCATGAGCGAGTGTACGCATAATAAAGTATTTGTATTTAAATGGTACTTTGGATATTCTGCTTTACTGTTTTGTTTCGTTTATTTTATTTAAAACATTTATATAGCTGCCCATTTTTCAGCCAACTCTGTTGTATACTGTCCTTTACATTACCTTTCAAAATGATATTCCAATTTTTGAAAATAAAATAAAAGTTTATAAACACAAGTTAGACTAATAATACAAAAAGATTTTCATCAAAACAATTTCAAGTCTTGAAATATTATTCTTTATATTAGTCTTAAGAGAGGCAGGAGCCAAGGAGATGTTCATTAACTTACACTGCAATTTTCTGGAGGAACCAAAAGCTGAGTGATTTCTCCACCATGCACACAGAAGATGTGCTTCATTTCTCCAGAAAAGATGTCCCATATAATGACTGAAAAATCTACACCACCCGAGACCAGGTATCTTTGATCGTAACGAGAGGAGACCTGGTGAGGATACAGCAAACAGGTGACTTTGTTTCGATGACCCCGCAGAGTTCTGTGAGGTGGCCAACCTAAAACATTAAAGCAGAAGAAAACACAAAATGTCACATGTTTTGGGTCTGTAGGCATTCTTGGTCATTTCAAGATAAGAAGAAAATGAAACAGGAGTGCATATGTGTTTGTGTAATAAAGATATGCAAATAACACTGTACAGTAGGAAAAGATTTTGGTGATAAGTCTCGGTATTCCATTTCTAATTTAGTTCATTTTCAATCCAATTTTTTTTAATGAGGTTACTCCCATTTAATTTGCTACTTGTTAATAAAATTAGCATTTAGCATGTAGCATACCCAACCTCACATTAAGTGAAGCTACAAGAAGATGGGGGATCAATTCCCTATGACAAAATGGTACATGCATTGCTACATATTTGATGGCCAATGCATGAAATATGTACAAAAAAGCGGCTAGGTATGTTTCATCTTCTAGGGCCAAAGATATATCTCTTTCTAACACTCACTTTAACCAACAGAGTCTTGGCAGAGTCCCAACAGAGTCCCCCAGGACCCAGTGATGGCGAGTCCCAGCTGGGGCTCGACACAGAGTCAATTCCATTTGAAGCGATAGTTAATAACTTGAGGCTTCCAATGATAAACCAACAAATAAAAGCTTGAAAGAAACACTGTCTTCCTTCAGGAAAATGGAAAATATATTCGCAAAAGTAAGACGTATCCAAATCAGAAACATTTGTAACAGAATGAAAAACTCGAGAGTAGGAAGATTGAAAATCACACTTATTGAAGATGGCTACCGTTTAAAAGATCTTATTTATTTAATTCATTCAATTGTTTAATTCTGTTGCCAACAACTTGTCTATGACTCTGGACAGTTTACATCCAGTTAAAAGCAACCAAAGATCCCCCAAATAAAAGACACCTTGCCTGTTATATCTGCACAAGTAACACCCCCCCCCCAAAAAAAGAGGTCATCTAACATTGTGGCACTGTGCTAAAAGGAAAACTATTGTTTTCAGCGATAAAATCCTCTGAAGTCAGCTACCAGTTCTGTGAGACTGCTACCGAGTGTGTGCTTCGCGCACGCATGCGCACCTGAGGTGCACCCACCCAGCACTAAAAAAAGGAACATTTTGAAGCCTTCTGAATCTGCAAAGGTAAGTAGAACAGCGGGGGGGGGGAATCAGATGTGCCACGCAATTTAGATTAGCTAGAAAGCAGGAAATCCGACGATTCTAGCTAATATAAATCACACGTCACAGCTGATCATTGCCCAGCTGATCATCGGAAATACCGATTCAACCGAACCGGTAGCATTTTTTACTACCGGTTCAGGAAAATCGGTCCGAACCGGTAGCATTTCACCCCGATTGTCTTCCATAAGGAAGGTAGGATTAAGGCCACCTGAATCTTAGGAGTATGTTGTTCCACAGGGTAGGCAGACTGACAAGAGAACATATACCTCTTATTAGGCAAAAATAACTGGGGCCTACATACAACTCAGCCTTATGCCCTGAAAGGCTTTGCACATGACAACCAGCATCTTAAATTGCACACAAAAACACTAGTGGGAGCTATTGTAGCTTGTCAAGCAGTCGTATTATGTGAACCTACTGAAGTGTACACGGGCAGCCCCTCGTACAGCATGTTTCACTGCTTCTCTAAATGGGATTCAGAAGAAGTCACCGCAGATACTTTAAAACAGGTATCCTGTTTTCAGTACAAATCATAGTTTCTGATGAATGGTACTTGTCGTTTGACATTCTTCTGTTAAGTGAAACATATGGACCAGTTATTCAAAGTAACCTTCCATTCTAATAAATTTATTCAAGGTGATTCACTCACTACCTGACAGCCGTTCAATTGTGAGTTTATTTTTACTTCATTATGCACGTGAAGCAACTGATTCAAGTGTCCTATTATTTATTCCTGGGATGATGAAGATGAAGATGATGAAGATCATCGTCATCATTATCACCAAATTCATTGACAGGCCACATATCCTTTTGCTACCACAAAGATATTATCATCAATATATTCCCATCTTTGATCTTTGCAGTAACTTTAAAAGCAACAATAATAATTGACCGGTCCTACAACAGATTTATTAGAGTCTACAGCAGTGATGCCTAACCTTCTTGCCATCGCGTGCCGGGGGTGGGGGGGCGCGAGTGTGCGTGCCCACACCCGTAATTCTATGCGTCCCGCCCCCACACATGCGACCCCCCCCCGCTTCCTCCACTCCTGGCATGCGATGGCCTGGTAGGCCCGTTCTTCTTTCTCACCTGGCTCCAGGGCCTCTCTAGGAGTCTGGGGAAGGCGAAAACGGCCTCCCCCCCCCGGAGACCCTCCGGAAGCTGAAAACGGCCCGTTTAACAACTTCCGGTGGGATCGGAAGGCCCATTTTTTGCTGTCCTCAGCCTCCAGGGCCTCTCTATGAGTCTGGGGAGAGCAAAAAACAGCCTCCCCCCCGGAGGTCCTCCAGAGGCCAAAAATGGCCCATTTGATGACTTCAACTTCCCACCGGTCCTACTGGAAGTTGTTAAACAGGCCATTTTCGGCCTCCGGAGAACCTTGGGGATGGGGGAGAGGCCGTTTTCGCCCTCCCCAGACTCCTAGAGAGGCCCTAGAGCCAGGTGAGAAAGAAAAATGGGCCTTCCCCACCTCCTATCCCCATGCCCTCTGGAGGCAGGAAACAGCCTGTTTCCCTACTTCTGGTGGGCCCAGAAGAGCTGAGCTCACATGCCCACTGATATGGCTACGTATACCACCTGTGGCACGCATGCCATAGGTTCACCATCATGGGTCTACAGTATTCATGGGTATTCTGATCCTATTATCCCGTTCGGGTTACAAATGCAAGGCACTGGAACAAAATAAATGATGCCAATTAAAATTTATTTTTATGAAATGCTTTGAACTCTTTGAAATATTGCCGTATCATTCAGAAATAAACTCAAAGTACTTTCAGCATAATTCATAAATTAAAAAATAATAATTTAACGATTATAACAATTTCAAGCAATAATTATTCCATGCATAAATGGAACAACCTTTTCTATATCAGTTGAATATGAATACATGTAGTCCTTGACTTACAACACTTCGTTTAATGACAGTTCAAGGTTACAACGGCACTGAAAAAAGTTATTAACTGTATTTCACACTTACGACCATTGCAGCATCCCCAAATTCAGTGATCAAAATTCAGATGCTTGGCAACTGACTCATATTTATGACCGTTGTTTGTGTCCCAAGGTCACGTGATCTCCTTTTGCGACCATCTGACAAGCAAAGTCAATGGGGAAGCCAGATTCACTTAAGAATCATGTCACCAACTTAACAACTCCAGGGATTCCCTTAATAACTATGGCAAGAAAGGTCGTAAAATAGGGCAAAATTCACTTAACGAAAGTCTCAGCAGCAGAAAAATGGGGCTCAATTGTGGTCGTAAGTCGAGGACTACCTGTACAGATAACCAATTTAATGCCCACGATTTAATAAATCATCCCGGAGCCCTTATTATTTCACACACCTCTTCTGCACATATGTTCATCTTGCAAAAGCTGAACTATGGCAGTCTGAGTGGCTGGAACAATCACAATACTTCCATCTTCACGACCACAAACCAGTCGCCCATGTGCTGGGATGTAGACACTAGCTGTCACCTTCAAAGGATCGTCACTATTTGGGATGAAACTCAACTGATCTATAATACCAGCTGGGTGAAGTTTGCTAAACGCTTCTTGTAGAGAATTAGAAGTAGTAACCGGCAATCCTGTTTTTTTAAAAAAACAAAATACATTTAAAATATTAAATAAATGAAAGGCTCAGAAAAAGCAATGCCAAAGATAATTTTCACTAAACCAAAATCTTTTTTTAAAAAAATTAATCTTGTGCCTGGTCTTGCATAGCAGTTTAGAATTTGCTTCTGTGAATCATAAATGAAGTAGTAAGGACGGAATTTACTAGGGGGTGGGAACTGGCTAGCAGGGAGTAGCGTAGTAAACAATGGTGAATAATTCTAAAGGATTGGAAAGAAGAGTAGAAAGGATAAGATAAACCTATCTGCTAATTCCTGTAATTAAATAATATTATTATTATTATTATTATTATTATTATTATTATTATTATTATTTTATTTCTATACCGCCCTTCTCCTGCGGGACTCAGGGCGGTGTACAGCCAAGATAAAACATTGCATATAAAATTTAAAAACAATTTAAAAAACAATTAAATAATTTCGGCCCAAGATATTAAAAACAACCCAATTAAAACCAAATTCAATTAAAATTGAGAGGATAAGAAATATAAAATGCATATAATGCTTCCCTCAAGTGGGGCCTGACTCTCGATGGCAGCAACAGAGAAGCGGCTTGTCCCTGGGGATATGTTTTCATCTTACCAGTCTAATTTACAGCTTGGGTATTTTCTGATACTTAATAGAAGAGAATATTTGTAATTTTGGGTTGAATTGTGGAGTTCTTGGTGCCCTCTGAACTCGGTTGTTTGCTTGCAGACATTTTCATTATCCAACTAAGTTATAATATCAGTGTGACGGTTACCTAGTTCAGAGTTCCCCAAACTTTTGGGTTTTGCGGACCGGCAAAGGGGGGGGGAGAGGGGATGGTTCCATGCAAGCAGCCAGCAAGCACGCACCCACGCAGCTCCATTTGCGTCAGCGGTGGGTGTGCACGCCTGCCCACCACTCACGCAAATGGAGCGTGCGTGCATGCACGCGCCTGCTGCTCACACCAGTGGGGATGCATGTGTGCCCGGATTCACCCACTGTTTCCGTGGCCCATCTGCCAACAGCTGACGGCACACTAGTGAGGCGTAGCCCAAAGATTGGGGACCCCTGAGACTAGAATAGAATAGAATAGAATAGAATAGAATAGAATAGAATAGAATAGAATAGAATAGAATAGAACAGAACAGAACAGAACAGAACAGAACAGAACAGAACAGAACAGAACAGAACAGAATTCTTTATTGGCCAAGTGTGATTGGACACACAAGGAATTTGTCTTGGTGCATACGCTCTCGGTGTACATTGAGTAATGAAACATTTGCAAGCAAACAACCAAGCTCAGAGAGCACCAAGAACTCCCCGTCTCCTGATTCGTCATCTAAATAGAAACCAAGGCTGGTCCTTCTTGAAAGTTACAGTACTAGGTGCTACTACCTTCTGTGACAACAATTACCTTCAGTCATAGTTTCCTTGTCAAGTGAATCTGGAATACTCCAAATGGTGAGCCTCCCTGAAGAGTCTCCCTGGATTAGTAATTTATGGAAACACTCCCTACGTCCATAGAAGAATTGAGTGACAGGAGGGCAGATTAATAACTGTAAAACAAACAAGATATGAAACAGCATTTTAGACAAGTTAACAAGTAGAGTAAATCCCAATTCTATCATGTCTGTGTCATGCTATGTTGCCTATCTGAGATCTTAATTTCAGGACTGCTAACTGAACAATGTCAGGAAACATAGTCTTATAAAAGGAATAACTAACAATGTATATCTAACCTTACACAATAAACAGTATATGTGCAAGATATATAGTATATATGTGCAATATATAGCATGTGTGCAAAACAGAAGTTATTCAATAGCAGCAACTGTTAGCACTCTTTTAACCAATCAATACACAATATAATTTCAAGATGGTGTGCAGAAAAGGCACATTAAAGAAATACAAATCAAAGCTAACACTGTTTATTTGATTTTCAATCTCCCCCAGATCTGGAATCTTTGGGGCAAACTAAAAGCTACAAAAACAGCAACACCCTGTAATACAGCCCAAAAGAATGTGTTAATAAACTGCACCTGAAAAACCGTGAAAATAAAAATGATGTAAAAAGTAAGCATCCCAATGAAATTATGCACTATAAGAAAATGGCTATTAAAAACATCTGGAAGAATAGGAATTTTTGGGATATCAAAAGGACATGTGCAAAACTGCTGGATATATCTCCCTGTAGAAAGCGCTCTTATATTAAGTGAAAAAAATGAAATCAGTACCAAAATATAAGTAAGCAGCAACGTGTCCATGATCTCAAAAGTGTTTCAAATTATTAGCTTCTAATCCAGTGGTGAAATCCAATTTTTTTTTACTACTGGTTCTGTGGGCGTGGGTTGGTGGGTGTGGTGTGACTTGGTGGGTGTGGTTTGGTGGGCATGGCAGGGGAAGGATTATGCAAAATCCCCATTCCCTCCCCATTCTGGGGCCAGCCAGAGGTGGTATTTGCTGGTTCTCAAAATTTCCGCTACCGGTTCTCCAGAACCTGTCAGAACTTGCTGGATTTCACCCGTGTTCTAACCAAATAAAGCTTCTAAACAAGAAAGCAGGTCAAATCTTACCTGTTTGTCTGCTTTCTGCTCTCCTTGGTCTACAGTACAGTAGAGCTGAGGAGGACTGAGGTTTTCAATCACTTTTCCAACATCACTTCGAAATGACTTGCTAGCTGGTAAGCAACTGGAAACCAGAATGTTTATATCTACCAGCTCATATAACAATTAAAAAACATATCTCAAATTGCAGCTTTAACATCCACATTATAATAACGGAATAGATCTATTAGAGCAGTATTTCTTAACTTCAGCAACTTTAAGAATTCCTGGATGGGGAATTCTGGGAGTTATTCCACGCATTTTAAAGTGCGAGGCTGAGAAACACTGAGTTAAAATGGGAAGGGGATAGATTTAATATTTTAAATATAAATATAGAAATAATGTAGAAATCCACATGAAAAGCAACAGAAGAAAAATAGTTCTAAAATGCGAGATCAATTTGTACAATACGATCTAACATAAGGGTAAAAGCCATTATCCAAACTTAAGAATAGTTCAGGAGCTGGTTTGCCTAATTAAATTGACAAAATTAGCAAAGAGGTAGAAATAATACATTTCTGCAGATCTAAATTTAACTACTCACAGGGAAATTTAAAAAGCTAATCACCTACACACTGACAATATCAACTTTATCCTTCATTCAGCTTCACAAACTGCATAATAAAGCCAGTTCAAACATATTTATTAATCTCTGTCACAGTCCCTCTCTCTTCTTTTCTTGCACATCAAAAGAAATTCTATCCTGCACATAGAAAGAAATAAAGCTGATACCAGTTTCCTATGATGCCCAAGTTCATAGTACTGGGATGTATTCTATTTTTTTTGTTGTTCTTCCAATCAAACATGTCCAAGGAGCCATGGTGGCACAATGGTTAGAGTGCAGTATTGCAGTCTAATTCTACCAACTGCCTGCAGTTTGATTCTGACTGACTCAAGGTTGACTCAGTCTTCCATCCTTCCGAGGTCAGTAAAATGAGGATCCAGATTCTTGGGGGCAACATGCTGACTTTGTAAACCGCTTAGAGAGGGCTACAAAGCACTATAAAGCAGTATTTAAGTCTAAGTACTATTGCTACTCTCAGAGACTGTCTGTAGTTTTCTTGACAAGGTTTTCAAGGAGTGGTTTGCCATTGCCTCCTTCCTAGGGCTGAGAGAAAGTGAATGGCTCAAGTTTGCTGTCTAAAGCAGGACTAAATTCATGACTTCTGGTTTCTAGCCTGATGCCTTAACCATATCACCAAATTTGCTCTCTGTTCTAATGACAGATCAGTAAAAAAATGTATGGTTTGATAAACTAATTTATTAGTATCACTATCCCTCATTCTGTCTGAACACACAGAACTCTAGATAGTAATCTTTATTTATTTATGCCCTATTAATATCACATACCTGGCTGGCAGTTTATATATAAAACTTTGTCCATCTTCAGTCCATATTATCACTTTGTCTGCTGACACAAAATCACCTCCTGTCCATGTCTGTCCATTTTCACTTGGGACTGAGAATAACAAGGAATAATCTCCAGCATCAAAAACCTAAAGAAAAGTAATTGCATAACATAAATTAATTGTAAATTAAGATATATACATAATACAAATAGCCTTTCTTATAGTGGCTGCAATTAGTGCTTTATAAAAAATGCATTTATTAAACCCTTTCAATTAAAAAAAAAAAAAGCAAAAGACACCCAATGGAATTTACATCTTTAGGATACCTAAAGAACATTTTTAGAAATGTACAACAAAAATATAAACCATCGATAAAACTTTTCAATTCAGAAAATCAAAAACCTGCAGAAAATATATATATATATCGATCTCATGTATGAGAGGCCATACAAGGAGGCAAGATGCAAAAATACCGCAAAAAGTATATATTCAGTATCAGAAATAATTCTCTCTAAAAAAAAATAAAGGAAAAAGTTTGAAAGCAAAAGCATTGTGAGTATTTTATTAAATATTATTTTAACGTCTGGCTAAATGGTTGTAGTTTTCCATAAAGGTAGCAGTCCAGCAACTATGTATGTGAGTTCATGTACCCTGAGGCAATTAGCTATGCAGAGAAATCACCACAGACGAATCAATTTACAGTCCTGCCGTCTGGAGACTTTTTTTTTTTTTTGCATGTTTGCCTCATGCACAATTTAAGTACATCAGACTGAACAACAAAGAAATGCCAGCTTTCACTTAACTGGTTATCCTTACCCTCCAGTATTTAGAACAAACTACCAAAAGTGATCGTTGAGTAAATGCACAGAAGGAAATGCTCTGGCAGTTCTGACAATAAATTGGTTTAGATTCCTCTTCAAAGATCGGTTCCGTATCCTTGGAAGAGATTAAAAGGAAGGAGAAATGTTAAGTCTTTTATGCAATAATCTACAATACAATTTTTTATTTCTCTACTCCGCCTTTCTAAATTTCTCTTTTCTATTTCTCTTTGTCCCATTCCTTTTCTAGTCTTGAATCCTATCTAGAACGATTGATTTCAAAATACAAATATTTTTGACAGTATGTATTTCTTATTTTTAAATTCAGTGTATCGTTTTAAAATTCCTTTTTTGGGTAATTTTTTTTCTTCCATTTAGCATTTTATTGAGTTATAAAATAAAATAAGATACAAAATATGAAATTAAATAGGAAAGCTGTTGGGGGAAGGGGGGAGGAAGAAGCGAGGAAGAGTTAAGAAAAAGAAAAAGAAGGTTGATTTCCGAATCCGTGTTGCAGTAAAATAAAACATTAACATCAAACCACAACTATTTGTTTTTTCGTAATAATATAAACTAGCCATTTTTATAAGGATCTATCAATCTAATTGGTAAAACCCAAAATCAAAGTTTCATTCTTTTCCACTTCAATCACAAAGTTCAGAGGTGGTCTCCATGTGGAAACAAAAGTATTTCTATTCTTTTCTTTAATCAAAATAGTCAATTTTATATCGTTTTAAAATTCCATTACAGTATACAATCGTATTTAGAATTCAACTGTTGTTGGGGAAAAACTGAGCCCTAGAAACATGATAAGAACGAATTCTCCTTTCTTGAAACAGGTAAAATATTCAGGACAAGAACTGAAGAACTAAAACTGAAACTGAAAAGTGAATCCACATTTAATCCACAGTTTACAATATCAAATCTTCTCTGTCTGCATAAATCCCGAGTGTCAAACTTGCGGCGTCACGTTGCCGTCACGTGATATATCAAGACATTTTTCTCATTCGCGAAGCTAGGTATGGGCGTGGCCTGCGGGTGACACATCTGGCCTGCAGGCTGCCAGTTTGACACACCCCTGGCATAAATGAATGTATTCTAATCATTTTATTTATTTATTTGATTTGATTTCTATACCGCCCTACTCCCGAAGGACTCAGGGCGGCGCACAGCCAAACAATAAAATACATACATACAAAATTTAAAAGTAGAATTAAAATCAAATTAAATAGTTTTGGCCCAGACAAATTAAAACCCTAAACAATTTAAAACCAATTTTAAAATTTGAATATATAAAATACTAAAAGATATTAAAAAATTAAAAATCTTTTATGAAAGAGGGAGAAAATTAGGCCAGGCCCGCCTGGTGAAATAATAAGGTCTTTAGAGCGCGGCGGAAGGTACGCAGATCCGGGATCCTCCGTTATCTCCGGGGGCAGCTCGTTCCAGATAATAGGTGCCCCCACACAGAAGGCTCTCCCCCTGGGGGCCGCCAGTCAGCATTGTTTGGCCGACGGCACCTGGAGGAGCCCCTCTCTATGGGAGTGTACCAGCTGGTGGGAGGCTATTGGTGGTAGTAGGTGGTCCCGCAAATACCCAGGTCCTGAGCCATGGAGCGCTTTAAAGGTGGTAACCAAAACGTTGAAGCGCACCCGGAAGACCACCGGGAGCCAGTGCAGCTCGCGCAGGAGGGTTGTTACATGGGAACGCCATGTCGCTCCCATTACCACCCGCACGGCCGCACTCTGCGCCAGTTGGAGCCTCCTGGTGCTCCTCAAGGGGAGCCCCATGTAGAGAGTGTTACAATAGTCCAGGTGGAAGATTTCCTAATCATAGCTTAGGAAAAACAAACAAACCTTCCACTCAACAAATTTTAAATAACCGCCAGGCATCAGGGATAGCATATCTCAGCAGAAATAGAAATACTGCTAAAAATCTTTCAAGGGTAACACAGCAGTGAAAAAATAAGTCAGTCAGACTGGCAATACTGGAAAAAAGAAGTTTATCATCGTAAAACTATATTTGTTTTTCCTTACCTGTATGTGACTCACTTCAGAAGTTACAATCCATACTTTAAGAATGCCAGCCACAGATACTGCTACAACAGTGTCCTCTAGAGAAGAAAAAAATAATCATTGTCCCACAAGAGACACAGAATCGGAATTATTTCATAAATTCAGTAGCATTTAACTGACCCACATACTGTTCTTGACCTAGGCTTCCTTAGAAATTAAACAGAACAAACTTAGTCCTGGCAAACTTCTTTAATTCATACTGCTGTAAATTACTTTCATTTACAATCCGCAAGGCTTGATAAACAATCTTTCAGAGGAAGGTTATCAACATCCACCTATCTCACGTGGAACGCTGCCAAAGAGCTAATTTCCAGACACAGGGCAAGATCAAACTTGGCACAGAGTCACAAACAGAATTTTCAAATCTTGAATCGGCCAGATAAACTAATTGCTTCCTGCAAAAGCTCACGTCCCGTTCACTTCTCTTTTATGTCTTATGGGAGGGGCCAATCATCTCCAAGCCTTACTCCCAAATCGGCCCTGTTTCCTTAATTGTTCCTGTCTCCTGGCAGCTCTGTGCACGTGCACACTGGGAACAGGCTCACACTGTTCTTCTGCCTCGCTGACGTCAGACTCCGGAGACTCTGGAGGCAGCAAAAAACTACCAGATGGCCTCGGCCCCCTCTCTGCCTCTGACTCAGAGCCATCGTCCGAACCTTCCCCAGACTCCAAGACTGGCCCATGTTCCTCCCAACCTCCTCACTGTTCAAATCTGCTGCCAGGTCTGCTGGCTATTGGCGGGCCACAACACACAATGAGAAGAAGATGCTGAGGATAAAACCTAAGAAATACATTTACTATAGGTCACATTCATGAGCTGAGAAGCTCAAGGGAATACATATGATGTTGGTAAGTAGAAAACCAATTTCTTGACATACAAAGGATTTCAGATCCAGTCTCTACTCTCAGAAGCAAAATATTCTGTTCAGTCTATGATGAGCAGCTACCTGAACCAAATGAAACTGAACAAAGATCTGATTTGATGAAAGGCAACTTCCTTTAGTCTTGATAGTTTCTCATTCTACATTAAGTATATGGTGCAATGACTAAGCTACCTAATCCAAAAAGGCTGAAGATTTCATGAAGGTACATGAAATCTTCAGCCTTTTGTGGGCTGTTCTTATGCTATGGAATTGCTTATGGCCCAGAATTCCTCTGACAGCTCCTCTTTCAAATTGTGGGTTGAAGATGGAGATTGAGTTTTTGTTGATTGATGTCCTCATTGGTTCTCACAGATTTAGTTTTTAAGCATATGCAAAGCATTCCTTAATCTTGGCTTTAAACATCCTAACATTGTTTTAAATGAATTTATTACCAATATCATGTTTCCCCGAAAATAAGACTCTGTCTTATATTTTTTGAACCCCGAAATAAGCACTTGGCCTTATTTTCGGGGAGGTCTTATTATCCACATGGGGCATGTGGAGCAAGACAGGGCTCCCCTTGCCGTCTTACCTGATTTCCAGTTCTGTCTCCCTAACTAACCAGAGGAAATGGCAGGGACTGGCTGCACGTGTTTAAATATTTTCAGGGAGGGCTTATTTTTGGGGCAGGGCTTATTTTCAGGGGAGAGATTTTCAGGAGAGGTCTTATTTTCGGGAAAACATGGTAGTTGTATCCTAACTATTTAGTGTACCCTAAGTGGCTTACAATACACAATCTAAATACAATAAAACAATATAAAATGAAGTAAATGAAATAACATATGAAATAGAAAATAGTCATGGCATCAGCAAGAATTGTGCAAAGCCAAATTCAGGCGTGACTGAACTGATTCATGCCTTGCTTTTTTAATGATTTATTAATTTGTTTCTTTATTATTGTTCCACCCAGGACCTTGAAAAGGGATCATGAGGCCCCTCACTTCGTTCCATCTTTTATCATTTATTGATTTCACTGTAAGGTCTTGGATTCTTGTGAGGCAGTGTTGTTTGAAGTCAGGTGGCATATAAGTTTCATATGTTATTATTATTATTTATGATTGCCAAGACAATTCCTGAAAAATAAGAACCTGGACTACGGTTATTGGCTCACCTTGTGTTCTGTGAGATCGAATAATGCTCATAGAACTGATCCAGTCCTTGGAAATCTTCGACACCAAGGAATAAAGAACTTCAAGGCTGGTAGCATCCATAACAAGAATTTCTGGATAATGGCCATGACACAACAATCTCCCTTCACGCTGAGTCCCAGCTGTGAATTGATAGAACTAAAAGAAGAATGGAAGAAGGAGATCAGAGCCAGCCTAATATGTGGTACCCCAAATGCCAAATCATCAGATTTTCTTTATAAGTATCATGCATGCTCATAACTGCTTAGTCATTTTGTTAACACAGCATCGCAGTAATCAATCCAGGGGAGTAAAAACAAATGATTTTTAAAAGATGAATTAATTGAAGTCATTTTTTAGAATTTGCATTAGATCTGCAAGTTTTTCTTTAAATGTTTTGTTAAAAATGTAACAGTAACAATGTTGGAAGGGACTTTGGAGGTCATCTAGTCCCAACCCCTGCCCACGCAGGAGACCTGTACTAGGTCTACCACCGAACTGCCAACCTTTCTAATCGACAAGCTCAGTGTCTTAGCCACTGAGCCACTTAGTCAGGCTATCAACCTACCTAGCTCAGAAAGTATTAACCATTGAAAATACAAAAGATAGATGACAGTAAGCGTTCAAAAAGGTATTGAACAAAACCCCCAGGACTACCTCTTTTTGAACAATTAAAAGCAGCCACCTTTTTTGCAAAGCTCATACAACTGTTTAGAACAATAATTATGGTAAACATTCCTGATTAATTCAACTGGAGTTGTTTCATATTCTAATCATTCACATGCACATACCCACTTGGATACTAAATAAAATGATCAAACCATCAATCCTGTTAATGAATTTAATGAAAATTAATGTAAAAATGTTGCTTTATAATAAAGGTGAGTGCCTACCACCTAAAACTGAAAGCTACTTCTTTTTCTGAGTATATAATAAGGTTGTATCAAATATTTTGAGAAGAAAATAATGATTAATGGAATCTTTCTGACCCAGTAAATAATTAAACTGAATTTTCCTGACTAGTGATATAAATCATTATTTAAATCGATTTTATTTAAATCAGATTTACCCTATAACAAATTACCTGACTTTCACTATTTCTGCATTCCAGCTGGCTCCTAAAAGACAGCAAAAACAGGTGCCTTTAACTGTCTCAAAATAGCCATAATTTTATTTCATTTTTTTGTGGTTGTTTTGCCAATTCTCCAAAAGATTATTAATAGTTTTAATTTTCAAATATTTCATCACATAAAAATACAGATATACTTGTATTGTGTATTTGAGTCACTTGAAAACCATATCAGATTAAAGCAAAGCTCAAAAGCAGTTTAATACACTGAAGCCTACAAATTTGTTTATATTTATATTTATACACAGCTACAGGTAGTCCTCGACTTGCGATCACAGTGGAGCCCAAAATTTCAGTTCTTAACTGAGCCATTCGTTAAGTGAGTTTTGCCCCATTTCATCACTTTTCTTCCCACAGTTGTTAAGTGAATCACTGCAGTTGGTAAATTAGTAATACGGTTGTTAAGTGAATATGGCTTCCCCATTGACTTTGCTTGTCAGAAGGTTATAAAAGGGGATCACTGAACTTTGGGACACAGCAAAGTACGACCCAACTGCCAACTGTCTGAATTTTGATCACATGATTATGGGGATGCCACAATGGTCATAACTGTGAAAAATGGTCGTAAGTCACTTTTTTAAGTGCCACTGTAACTTTGAACGGTCATTAAATGAACTGCTGTAAGTCGAGGACTACCTGTAGTTTAATCCATACTTAAATGTGTTTTACCTGTATGGCAGTATGAGTGCAGGCTAGTTTTGTAAATTCAATGCACCTTCCATCATTCACATCCCAAAGGCACATTTCTCTACAGGAAGAAAAAGAAGGCAATGTAGGTATGAACGTTAAGCAATCATTATTTGGTACTCTCTCTGCCCCACAATTGTTTATTGATTGGTCATTTTAGGAAGGGGAGATGTAGAAGGATGATGCAAAAATTATACCTGGACTGCCTCTGAAGGCAAAAAAAATATTGCCCAAGCAGATTTTAAGGTAATATTTAATACTGTATTTATAAGAGACCTAAAATAATTCAGTCATCAACAGAAAACTTGGCTCAAAAAGAAAATCCTTACCCGCTTTCAGATGCACTCACTATATACTGTTTTTCACTTGAAGAACTGGCTTTGGATAAACAAGTGATTGATGCTGTATGACCAAACAAGAGAGCTCTAGGATTTATCTAGAATCAGGGAGAAAAAAACCACACAAATAACCCCATTATTCAATTTCAAATACTACTAAAAAAAAATAAAAAGCATTGTCAAAGGCATGAGAACAGCACAGACGTTTGTAAACTTTTCATACCTGTCGACCCTGAAAATGGCATATGGGTAGCCATATTTGATTGTAGTCTTTGTATGTTTTTTTTTTTAATTAGCTTTTAAATTTGTAAGTAAATTAATTTAATAATACTTCAGGCTTATCACTTGCTAACTGTTGAAAGGGGGGTTGTAAATATAAAGGGGGAATGTTGTGTCTAGGTGGCATTCCTTTCCTGTGGGAACAGAGAAGATGCCTGCAGCTGGACGAAGGTGGAATCTGGAGTCACTGGACTGTTGGACTGAGGACTGATTGAAGATTGTGACTCGGGGGAAGTTTCATACTTTTGCTTTTATTGGGTGTAATTCCGGATCCTGTCCAGAGTCGGAATTACACCAAGCCCTTGCCAATTTAACGTGTACCTAATAAATAGACTTTGAAAATAGAATAGAATAGAATAGAATTCTTTATTGGCCAAGTGTGATTGGACACACAAGGAATTTGTCTTGGTGCATATGCTCTCAGTGTACATAAAAGAAAAGATATATTAGTCAAGAATCATAAGGTACAACACTTAATGATAGTCATAGGATACAAGTAAGCAATCAAATCATATTAGGAAACAGTCAATATAAATCGTAAGGATAGCAACAAGGTTACAGTCATACAGTCATAAATGGGAGGATGGGTGATGGGAACGATGAGAAGATTAATAGTAATGCAGTCTTAATAACTAGTTTGACAGTGTTGAGGGAATTATTTGTTTAGCAGAGTGATGGTGTTCAGGGAAAAACCTGTTCTTGTGTCTAGTTGTTCTGGTGTGCAGTGCTCTATAGCGTTGTTTTGAGGGTAGGAGTTGAAACAATTTATGTCCAGGATGTGAGGGGTCTGTAAATATTTTCACAGCCCTCTTTTTGACTTGTGCAGTATACAGGTCCTCAATGGAAGGCAGGTTGGTAGTAACTGTTTTTTCTGCAGTTCTAATTATCCTCTGAAGTCTGTGTCTGTCTTGTTGGGTTGCAGAACCAAAAAGAAGATGGATACCTTGGACTTTATTATTTGGGACACGTTACTTGGAGGTTTCACATTACCTTTATTTCCCCAATTATGAGTAAATAATTACTATCTCAAGGGATTTGGAAAAACAAAGTATGAAAAGTTGAGAAAACATTCTTCATAATTTTGAAAAGTAGGTTGCACAAGTCATTCAAGCATGAAGACTGTCAATTTGGCAACAGCTATTCCAAACATGTGATCTACCATTAAGAGTGTTTATAACTGGTTTCCGAAATTATAATTGACTGTATAGGAAATGATCCAATCCTCAAGGTCTTTAGTCTGATGGCAACACTATGGAAGGTGAATAATTTGCTGCAACAAAGGGCTTTGATATGGCTTTAATTAATTCCAAATAAAAGGCATGCATCACACAAATCCTCTGCCAGATAAGTATCATTCATCTTGCTCTTTCAAAAATTATTTTAAAGGTAATGAATATTTCTTTGGAAGATGATTCCACAGGTTGATTTATTTACAATTCATGAAAACTGAAGACTGGTCCAATATGTGAAAGATGATCAAGGTAGTCCCTTGGAGCTGTATTTGATACTGTGTTTTGCATTCCAAAAGAGCATCCAATTAGGCACTATTCTTTGTGTGGGAAACAAAAGAATCCAGTGCAATCGCACTGTTAGGAGGTACTTGCTAAGAAAGATTTTACAGCTTTTTCTTCTAAATGGATCACAAATTAAAACTGGGGAATCATCTTCTTCTTCTTGTGCCATATCCGTCATCGGACATTGGCTATCATGTTGGCAATCCTATTTTTATCAACAGTCACACAAAAAAGTGCTGTTGAATTTTGTCCAAACCAGTCCCTTAGATTTTGAAGCCATGATGTTCTTCTTCTGCCTGGACCTCGTTTGCCTTCAATCTTTCCCTGGAGGATTAAGTGAAGTATGGCGTATTTTCCTGGGTGTCGTATCACATTTATTTATTTATTTATTTATTTATTTATTTATTTATTTATTTATTTATTTATTATTTATTAGTTCGATTTATATGCCGCCCTTCTCCGGAGACTCAGGGCGGCTTACAATGCATTAAGCAATACCCTTCATACTTTTGTATATACCTGCTTAGTAGGGCTTTCGGGGGGCCCCAAGCGGTGTTCTTTTTTATACAAAGTCAGCTTATTGCCCCCACAATCTGAGTCCTCATTTTACCTACCTCAGAAGGATGGAAGGCTGAGTCAACCTTGAGCCTGGTGAGATTTGAACTTGCAGTAATTGCAGGCAGCTGGCAACTAAGTGCTACTTTAACAGCACTTAGTCCACTGCACCACCAGGCTCCAAAATATTCTAACTTTCGCTTTTTAATGGTTTTGATGATTTCCCTTTGCTTTCCCAGGCGGCTTATCACCTCCTCATTTCTGATTTTGTCAACCCAGTTTATACATAACAGCCGTCTGTAAATCCACATTTCAAATGCTTCTAGTCTCTTCAAGTGGCTTTCTGTTAGATACCAACTCTCCACTCCGTAGAGCAGGCTAGAAAAGATGTAACATCTAACAAGCCTGATTTTCAAATCGTAGGCTTATGTCGTGACTGCAGAAGACCATTTTTTTTAATCCGCTAGAAGCATGATAAAGCCAAAACTACGAAAATTGGGGAATAGCCTACTCAAAATTTGTATGGGATTAGCCACCTTTTTTTTCTTATCTAACGTTACAAGCAGAAAACAGAAAATATATTCTTGAAAGTTACTTCCCTTTACCAGAACAGATATCACTAATACATTTAATATTAATATAATATTAATAATATTAATATTAATATTAAGGCAGTATGTTAAGTTTCTTCATGAATATGCTGCAAATGCAACTGAATGTAATATCTGACCATATGAATTGAACAAAAAGGGATATAAAAGTATTCAATAATGATTTCAGACTCTAGGTTATTTGTTTGGATATCAAAATTGCTCAAAGGTTCGGTCCGAATTACGAGCGCTCTGCATGCCTTGGAAATAAATAAATCAATAGTGCATTTTTAGAAGCAGGATTGGAGAAACAGAAACGGTGCATTCCAAAATCAGTATTTGAATTAGTTGTTCTTTTTAAATTAATCTAAGCATGTTGACCTCCAAAGGGTCATGGGAGAAAGGAAGCCCTGCAGAGCCACTTTTCAAAAGAGTTCATTGATTTTCCATGATTTAATGATTTTTTTTAAAAAAAAAAACCAGCAGCCCCACAAAAGCAAGCCTATGAATATCAATAACATATATTGACTGTTCTTGTTTAGGAAGCAAGGATTTTCCCAGGAAACACAGAGATATTGTTAGCAATGCCTTTTCAAGAAATTACAAAACATGCACCCAGTTCAAAGTGAACTGTATAGAAATGTACTTAAACTATACTTCTAAAACATTTCAAATATAACTTATGTACTTAGACTATATTTCTAAAATATTTCAAATAAAACTTGTGTATCATTCTGAAAAATTTCCTAATTCCACAAATTAAACTTACTTCTAAATCTGAAGAGAGGTCCCATAGACATATCTGCCCGTCGTGACATCCTGTGACAATCATTGAAACATCATCCATTAATAGCGTAGCGGATATACAGTGAGTAGGAGCTTTGCGTCCCCACAGCACGACTGGCAGGACCAAACTGTTGCCCGCCATTATGGTTTCACGCCTGAAAATGCAATTAATATGGTTTCAACTGCAAAAGTTGAACATCAAAGATAACATAAAACATAAAGATAACATAAAAACATCAAGAACTCATTTTCTTTAGTAGGATTTTAGAAATATGATCTTGTGAACGTACAGCAAGTACATCTAAGTAGTGGTAGTAAGTGGATTGATGCCATCCTATGCTTCACAACTACAGATAACACAACATCGAAGGCATTTTAATTCTTCCAAATGAACTAAGGTTAGCAAGAGAAGAAGAGCAGACTACTAACAAAACATTTTTTCCCATAATAATTTGAATCGGGTCATTTATAAATTTAGCTGCTGCTTTCATACATGATAATCTCAGTGTTTAATGAGTAATATTAGAAGTAATTCTCTCCTAAAAATATCTGCTCCGAACTCTGCATGACCTCAGAAAGGGCATCCAGCCAGTAAACGCTCAGCTCCATCCAAAACATGTTAAGTATTTTGACCATTCAGGGAAACTGGAAGAATTCAGTGGCAAATGCTATACATATCTTGTATAGGTAGTTCTCGACTTACGATCACAATTGAGCCCAAAATTTCCATTGCTAAGCGAGACATTTAAGTGAATTTTGCCCCATTTTACAACCTTTCTTGTCACACTTGTTAAGTAAATCATTGCAATTGTGAAATTAGTAACACGGTTGTTAAGTGAATCTGACTCCCCCATTGACTTTGCTTGCCAGAAAGTTGCAAAAGGTGATCACAAGGCCCGGGGTCACTGCAACCATCATAAATATGAGTCAGTTGCCAAGCATCTGAATTTTGATCATGTGACCATGGGGATGCTGCAATGGTCGGTCATAAATGTGAAAAACGGTCACTTTTTTCAGCGCCGTTGTAACTTTGAAAAGTCACCAAATAGTTTCAAGTTAAAAATTAACTGTACTCTATAATTGCTCTGTATATACCTGAACTTGTCACACCATCCTATGTGAATCTAATACAGTAATTGTCATAGAGGGGTTTATACCGCTTCCTCACATTCTCAGATACAACTATACAACATACCAAGTGCATGTTGGATATCATATCCTAAGAATATCACTAACACTTGGCTGACTTTGTCTAAGCTTGCAAGATAAGAGACTTGGGGCTAGTCAAAATTAATCCCATCACTTTAATCTAGACCCATGATGGCAAACCTATGGCATGTGTGCCGGAAGTGGCATGCAGAGCCATCGCTTCAGGCACGCCAGCCGTCGGCCATGGCTCTTCCGGGTTCTGGCATGCATGTTCCAGCTGGTCTTTGCATGTGCGCCAGGAACTGGAAGACCAGGGAACCAGAGCCTGGGGAACTGCTCTTCTGGTTTCCAGCGCTCCCATGCGTGCGTGCCAGGGAGCTGCTCTTTCGGTTTCTGGCACTCCCCCCGCGTATGTGTCGAAAAGGTTCACCAACACTGATCAAGACTGAGAGATTGAGGTATATCTCTCAAGCGGTGTAACATTCCCATATTGTTGCCAGGAAAACAATTGTTATGTTTGAGTTCAGCATCAATGATTGAATTAGGGCCTAGATCAGAGGTAGGTTTCAGCAGGTTATGACCAGTTCTGGAGAATCGGTAGCGGAAATTCTGAGTAGTTCGGAGAACTGGTAAATACCACCTCTGACTGGCCCCACCCCCATCTATTCTCTGCCTCCAGAGTCCCAGATGATTGGGAGGAAATGAGGATTTTGCAGTATCCTTCCCCTGGAATAGGGTGGGAATGGAGATTTTACAGTATCCTTCCCCTGCCACGCCCACCAAGCCACACCCACAGAACAGGCAGTAAAAAAATTTGAAACCCACCACTGGCCTAGATCCAGTCTAGCTTTAAAATGAACAGAAGTTTGAGGGATAAGAGATAAGGATATATATGGAGCTAATCCTTGCACTTTGGGAATATAATTTTTCTCAAAATTCCTTTCTTCAGTTTTTATTGGTGGATTATCATTACAAGCAGCAGCATGGCTAACTTCCCAGTCAGATCAATCTTTGCTCACAACCCACTTAACTCCAGGCAATAATTATTGCTTCACTGATGCTATGGATTGTTCTTCATAATAATGAGACTAGAACTGCCCCTTTGATTTTCTAAAAGCCCTGAGACAACTAAGCTCACATGAATGACTTATAGGTTTCATTATGGCATTTCTCCAACAACCGTTTTTTAACATTAATTAAATAAATCAGCCAAGTTCACACAACCACCTGAAGTCAGATCCAAACGTATACACTCATGGAGAGTATGTACACACAATACAGTAACACAGAATTTTATATCAACATGAACAAGGTATTTTTGCAACTAGTATTCCTAGCTAAGCAAACCTTGGGCTCTGTAATGCATATAAACTCAAAACTCGTGATAAATATTCTAACCAAAGCTGGAAATCATGGTTAATTCTTGCCTTCTGATTGCTAGCTAGTTTGAGAGGAACAAACCAGAAATTCTAATTAACATCTATCACTATCACTTCTATAAACAGTCCAAAGGTTTATTCACAGAAAGCCAGAATTTAGTCCATGTATTCCTACAAGCAAAAGATTATACTTTGTTCATGGTAGAAAACACAAATAAAAGCTAATATTTTTCCCCTTGCATTTTATAGTTTATATAGGACAGAAAAATACACACAAACATGTAAAAAATGTATGTGTCTGCCCATGTTCAGAACAGACAATACTGAATTAGGCAACATGAATCCTAAAGCTTATTTTTTAAAAAAACATGATGTATATCAATGTACCAAAAAAGGATCTGTTATCCTGGGAATGAGTTAATCAAAAATATATTAATGGAAATTCAATATATATTGAATATAATTTCTAATGCTCAAAGAATGTCGAAAGAAATTAAGCAAGAAAGGTTGAGGAAAAAAGTTTGGAGATTTTTCAGCATACCTGAAAGACAAAACGCACCAAATTATATCAATAAGGCCTAAACAGGAACTTAATTACAGTATACATATTGTATTGGAAATAAAATATTCATTGAATTACATAAAGCAAAGGTGTTGGGAGCAAGATGAAAATTCTAATCTATCACTAGCCTCATACGAAAATTGGTTGCAACAGTAAGCATATTATTATTTTTGCTATTAAAATGCCCATGGTAAATAATTCTAACTCAACAAATCAATATTTATTCATTTTTATTCTTAACAATATGATACTGAGTCAAAAGTAATCAAGACATTCAATTTTTAGGTAACATGGTTATGTAACACAGAGATCTAGACCCCGTTAGCTTTTTGTAAGCCATTAAACACCTGGCTATTCCCTTAGGTATTTGAGCCAGGAGGCTAAGCAAACTCTTTAGGTTAGTCATTTTCTTATAAAATTGGAATTACTGTGACTTCAGATGCTGGATGGTTAAATTTTGTATGTTCCCCAGAGTTAATTCTCCATCACTGGAGGTTTTTAAGAAGAGATTGTTAATTAGATCTGGGGGACAAATACATACAAAAGAAAGATTTGATGAATTGTCTGATTTTGAGGCTATAATATTTTTAATATTTTTAAGACTCTGAACTACAGATTTCTTAATATGAGATATTCCAACTTTTTATTCCAGAATTCTTGCAAATAATTAATATCCTTAGTGATGCTTTGTTGATTTTAAAAATACTCTAGAATTTAATAACCTAAACTCATTTCAATACAGGCAATAATTTGAGTATTTTAGATGCTGTGGATGCATATGATTAAATTGTAGTACCGTGGTTCCTCGGAAATAAGACCTTGTCTTATATTTTTTTGAACCCTGAAATAAGCACTTGCCCTTATTGCCATCCGCTCAAAAGCCCGATTGGGCTTATTATTAGGGGATGTCTTATTTTGGGGGAAACAGGGTACCAAAAGATGTTTTAACTGAAATGAATTAAAATTAATTGCTATTCTGCAGTTCTAATACGTTAAAGTTCCTCTTATAATAACTAAGATTATTTTAAATTTCAATAGTCTAGTGCCAGCGAAAAGTATTAATAGCCTGATTTAAAAAACAAATACTATCAAAACTGGAATTTTCATAAAGTGAATATTTATAACATGTATAATGGCTGAAATGATACTTCCGCCACAAAGATTGCAGCAGTCCATCCAAGAAATACGGTAGAATTTAGTAATTCCATTACTAAAAATGCAACCAAGTCCTTGCTGTGATATTAGAAAGCCATGTGCCTGTATTAACTTTTTCATTGTGCCTGTAGTTTTTCCCTTCAGTGTCCCACAGTGAGATTTTTGTGCATCTATCACAATTTCACTCCAGGGGAAGTTTAAGTCATAATATTATGATACAGGTTTTATCATTCTGATGAAGCCACTAGATTCTACAGATATCTGCGTTGACCATACATACCAGGGGTGAAATACAGCAGGTTCTAGAGAACCGGTAGCAGAAATTTTGAGCAGTTTGGAGAACCCGTAGCGGAAATTTTGAGCAGTTTGGAGAACCGGTAGCGGAAATTTTGAGTAGTTCGGAGAACCGGCAAATATCACCTCTGGCTGGCCTCAGAGTGGGGAGGGAATGGGGATTTTGCAGTATCCTTCCCCTGGAGTGGGGTGGGAATGGATATTTTGCGGTATCCTTCCCCTGGAGTGGGGTGGGAATGGAGATATTGCATTATCCTTCCCCTGGAGTGGGGTGGGAATGGAGGTTTTGCAGTATCCTTCCCCTGCCATGCCCACCAAGCCATGCCCATCAAGCCACACCATGCCACGCCCACAGAACTGGTTGTAAAAAAAATTTGGATTTCACCACTGGTACATAGTGTTTGGTCTTGCACTCCTTTGAAACAAAGCTAATTCAAAGGCTGGAGCACAACCATTCTTTCAGGACTCCACAGAGGAAATATTTAATCATAGGAAATCTTCACAACTGTCCTATTCTCTTTTAATAATGGAAGGTTTCTTAATCTGTGTTATAAAATTCAATACAGTTTAAAGATACGTATCTGCATTTGAATTATATATTAAAAATCAGAAATGT